AGGGAGGAGGCATCCACAACCTCTCTGGGCAATCTGTTCCAGAGTCTTGCCACTCTCATACCGAAGAACTTCTTCCTAAGATCCAGTCTAAAATTGCTCCCCTTCAGTTTAAAACAATTTCTCCTTGTCCCGTCGTTGGACACTCTTGTTAAAATTCCCTCTCCAACCTTCCTGTAGGTTCCCTTCAGGTATTGGAAGGTAGTTACAAGATCTACCCCCTGGAGTCTCCTCCAGGCTGAACAATCCCAGTACCCTCAGCCTGTCCTCAGAGCAGAGATATACTCCAGCTGCTGGATCAACTTTGTGGCCCTCCTTTGGACTCGTTCCAGCAGATCTATGTCCCTTTTATGGTGGGGACACCAGAACTGGATGCAGTGTTCAAGGTGGGGTCTCACAAGAGCAGAGGCAACGGGGGAGAATCACCTCTCTTGATCTGCTGGCCACAGTTAAGTCTGAATTCATTCTCATGACCCTTCCCACTGACACACGGAAGACGGCGAACAGACCACAGGAATATTGCCTGGTTTGCCTAATCCAAAGTACAATCCCAAACAGGTAGTGCTAGACAGCAGCAAAATTGGAAGCACCAGTTGCTGCATAATTTCCAGTCAGCTGAAAGCTCACCTGGGAACTGGAAACAGGACATGGTCTGGATTTTTCTGTGTACTGTGCATGCAACAGCTGTAATTCCTCAGGGATGATAAACTTTAAAGCTAGCCTTGCCTTGAGCAGCAGGTTGGACCAGACAACCTCCTGGGGTCTTTTCCAACCTAAATTGTCCTATGATTGTATATCATATCAAATACTTAAAGCTGAAAATCTGGAAAATATTGTGTAACCTCATTTATAAATCTTTGCCACAGAACTATTAACTTTTGAAACAGAATCTTCTCCCGTGAGATAGGAACAGGGCAGCAATCCACAAAATCTAGGACACAGAAGCACAGTAGGTATGAATTTGTCCTAGTTCAGTAACAGAACTGATGAAGTTTGTGTATTACCCTTATACCAAGACAACTTATACAACTGAAATATTAGTCCAATTGAACAGACATTTCTGGTTGTATGATCGGGCCTGAAAAACTCCCAAAGGATGCTAACAGTGACCTGTGCTATCAGCGACCACAGAATTCAGGCCACTTGAAAAGTCACGATCCTTGGGATCCAAGGAACGCCAAGGAAGGGAGCCTCAAGCTGTGCTATCAATCAGGATGATCTCTCTATATGTACATATAGATAGATATAGATATATAGATAGATAGATAGATATATTGCCCATGGGCTTTAAGGACAGAAAGCATGCTGGCATAAATTTCTCCATCCTCACTACCTACCTTTTGTCTCCCTGTGTGACCTGGAGAATATGGAAGATGTAACATTTGTTTATAAGAAAGAGAAGTTTTTCTAACAAGTAAAAGAAAATGGTGATAATGCAGTCTCTGCAGGAAGGGTTCCCAAGGGAAATGGCTGAAATAGAAGCAGGAGAGCCTCTGCAATTTTGGCTTCCAGAGATAAACTGAAGTAAGACTGGTAATCTAAGCAATTGAGACAACTGTCTTACTACAAGGCAAGGTAAACCAAAAAAAAAGATTTATGACCTTCAGAGGCAGCTAACTTGTGGACAAGTTAGGTAAGCTTTAATTATCAGGATATAAGATCTTAGTACAAATTTCAAAGACAGGAGAAGATAAAACCTCCTGAGTTACTACACAGGCTTCTCAAAATACCTCATTAATATATCTCTGCTTATTTTATATGAAAGTAAACAGAGATGAAATTCAGTTACTTCTGCTCTAGAGGCTTCTAATGCATTTTTGGTATTGAAAAGAATTACAACCTAAACTCAGTGGCATTTTACAACAGAGATGAGTTTTAGATGCTGTTCGACAGTTTTGTCTGTTTCAACAAATGTTAGAAGGATAGTTAGTTTTGACTGATGTTCCTTCAGAGGGAAGTCACTAAAAAGCCTTAACAATCCTCTCCTCTGAGACCTCCACACACACCTTTAGTCCTGTGTCTTCAGTCTCTGCCATGGACCTACTCAGTAATCACCAGGCCTGACCCTGACCCATTGATTGAGTAGCTTGGCCTTGGACCTGCCTTATTGTTGTGGTGAGCAGAGCACACCCTAGGCAGGGATCGGCGTGCGGAAGATCTCGCGATGTAACGGAAAGCTCAGACTGCCCACGAGGGGCCTTGTGGGTGTGGCTTGTGGTAGACAAGCAATTGCAGCTGCGCAATAAACGCCATTTGCAGCATCCTTCACATTGAAGCCTGTGTCTGCTGATGGTACCCAACGGTAGAGGTTGGGTGGCAGCTATCCCGGGGATCGGGTGTCGGTAACGACACCTTATCTCCATGGACTTACCTGCATGATGGTCTGCACCCTTGGCTGATCCTAGCCTCAACCTCCAGGTCTGCCCTACTCCCTTGAAGTGGGGCTGGGCTCTGCCTGGCCATCACATGTTCTCCCCCTCTGTTGCTGGTAGCTCCCATCCCATCCTGCTCACAGACAGCCAATTAATTATTTCCCTCCATTTTTTTTCATGTGCTTTCACTGTCTGCACAGAGAAGAGAGAAACTGCATAGAGATGAGAAAGGAAGGATGGAGCTCTAATGATTTCAAAGGGTGAGGACTCAGCATGGTCTATAAAGATTAATTCAAGGAAGTTTTAACTAGATCTTGCATTACCTGAAGGCTTTAATGAATCACGCTAAATTAAGTTTGCAGTATGACACAGAAGGTTGTTGCTTACCCTTCAAGAAGTATGGAAAGCCTCTGAACTAAAGAGCAGCACTCTAGAAAACCCTTGAAAATTGCAGTTTCACCGTTTCTTAAGTGACCCTGGCAGACACAAAATCCATCCCTCTATCCCTAAAGGAAGACCAAGAATCCCTATGTTGTGGTTGTTTAGACCCATCTTAACAAACTCTACACATTGAAGGTTCAACACCCTACCCAGTCTATTCCACTGTTTTTCACTTCTAATCTTTCTCATAAAGTACATTCATAGATTACAGAACTTTTTTTTATAGACATCTCTTGTCTACTTTCTCCTTGAAGATGATACTAGACCTGACGTTCCCACTTGCATCCAGTGGGAGCTAAGTAGTGTTGAAGTTTACTCTGTGTCTTAAGTGCCAGTGCTGCATTACATGAGTGGTGGCAAAATGAGAGCTGTTTGCCTCCTTTCTACTTTATACCATAGGTCAGGCAGCTTGACCTTCTTGACCCTTACCCAAGCTGTGGTACATTGTAGTGCTTCCTGTATCTTTCTCTAGAGATCTGCTGCCTAGTTGGCCATTTTGCACTTTTTCAATTACATATTATTTATATTAAAACATTTCTCTACTTGTCATTACCATTCTGAAACCTAATCCTGTCCTCTGCAAAGTGCTTGCAGCTTTTCCCACGTACCTATCAACTGCAGCTTTAATACACATTTTCTCTATTCCACTATCTAGAGCAAACCGTATCTCCTTCTAGAGAAAACCACTTGACAGAATCTCAACCTTCTTACTTGACAGTGAACCACCTGTAAGTACTCTTTGAAATTATAATTCCAAGCCAGAGAAGGATAAAGCATATCATACTTTTTTTTGTGACTTTTTGCCTCAGTATTTGTTGTAAAAGCAAATACTCAACTGATCTGATGTAATTAACCTCGGTGTCAGAAATATTGGTTAGAGACTGCTCTTACAGTATCTTCCTCAAGATCAAGTTTCCCTACTCTTCACTGTTCTTTAGGAACACCTTTAACATTTTTATAAGCTATAAAATATCACACTTATCACCAACTTCATCTCCTCAAGATCTGTCATTTTGTCATAGAGGGAAATTAGATTGCTTTACACAATTTATTCTTGACAAATCCATTTTGGCTATTGTTTAGCATCTTTTTATCTTCTGGGTGCTTCCAAACAGATTATCTGCTTAAATGTCTTTCCAGGAATTAAATTTAGCCTGACTGGTCTATAATCCCCTAGGTCTTCATGTGTTTTTGGAAAGACAGATACAAAGGTTTCTTCCCTTCCCCTGCAATTCACTTTTTCTCCCTTAATTCCCAAAGCTCATAAAGGGAAGACTTAAGATTTCTCAAGTACTCCATAGTGAAATAGTTGTGCCAGACATTTTGAAAATATCTGACTCATCTAAGAAGACTCTAATCTGTTCTTACCCCTATTCACTAGTTTTAATTATACTAGTCTTCAGAACACAGTCAGCCTTTTTTTTTTAATGAACACTGAGAAAGGAAATAAAAACCACACGAAACCCCAACCATGAAACTGGCATGCCTCTATTAGTTTTGCCTCTCTGTCAATTAATGGGTCAACTCTTCCCCTTGTCTTGCTCTGATTAACTGCTTACAGGATGTGTTCTTTTAACTACTCTATTGTTAAAACCATGCTCAGGGTGCTTGGACCATAGTTCACTGCAATTTCTACGACCAAAATGTTTCTTAGGGTGAAATTCAGAAGACTGGGAAAGCGCATAGTATGTGATCTTATTACTTCTGGAAGGTTCAGTCATTTCTGGCTCAGTAAGCTCCTCCAATATTTTCAACCATAGGCTTACCAGGTTTTGCCCCTCAATATTCAGACCAATGCTTATCATAAATTAGAGCTCAAAAAGGAACACAAAGAAATTAGATTTATTCTCTCTTTTACATGAACCTATGTCAGGGTACAAGCCTCCTTCAAAATAATACTTTTTGGTAAATCAAAGAGTGTAAAAGAAGCTTTGCTACAAAAAACATGAAGCGATTTCTTTGCATTTAGGTGCAATGATCTTTGGTGTTAAAAACAGACAAGGGAAAGCATGGGTAGTTTTTACCCTAGACCATCAAATAAACCCCAGAAGGGAATTAAGTTTGTTCAATATAGCAAATGTGACATATCAAGACAAACTTCGAACAAACAACACTGAAACAGTGGGTGTGGCTCCTTGGCAGTCTGGGATTAATAGCTCTCTATGTACTGGAAATTATGCAGACTCTTACCTCAGAGAACCTTTGTACATCCTGGGTTAAAGTTCCTACTCTCTTCCACTGATAATGTTTGAGTAACTTCAAAATTGCTGGATTCACTGCATTATCAGAGGGCACTGTCCGGAAGAAATAAGGATATTTTTTCTTATCAGCCAACTCCGGGGTTGTTGCTGCAAATGAAAGCTGAAAAAATCAAACAACAACAAAAAAAAGAAAGTCACCATAAGTCCTGTAGCAGTCAGAAAAAAAAGAAACTTTGCTCTTTTCATTTTAACGAGACACAATCTACTGTGGTCACATAGAGAATCTTCATCATAATACAGCTTGGAAGTCCTACCAGCACCATTTACTTAGTTCCTTTCAAAGGGATTTTTGAAATACTTTAGCTTTATAAACCACATGTTACAAAATTAAAATAGGAAATCTTCAAAGTCAGTGGTGTAAGATCCTCTGTTTGAGATCATGTGTCTTACACATTGCACAGAGCAAGAAGCAATATGGGAGTAAATATACATGATGAATTCCCTATCAACTTCCTTCTGCGTTCACTTCATAAAAGTTGATAATAGCTCCAAGTGGATGTTCTCAAACCCTTATGCATCCTTAAACTAAAGGGTAAACCTCTAGTAGCACTTCTTCCTATCTCCAGGTAATAAAACAACTCTAGGTAGCAGAAGAAAATAATTACAGCAGCTGAGGTTTACCTGGCTCCCACTTGCCTCCACTGAAGCAGTCCCTGTGATCTGTGTTATCAAAGGGGACTCAGTGGCTAACTCTACACATCTGAAAACACCAGAATTTGCTGTTTGCACATTGTTTAAGAATGCTTATAATTAAAGAAAAGAAGAAACCTTTTAACACACACATGTACACACAGACCACCCAAAATCAAACAGAACTCTGAATTCTTAAATTAAAGGCAGCTTATTTTTGTGAATGATTTTCAGGCTGTGTTATGAAGGAAATGACTGCACAACCACTTTTTGAAAATGCTCCTATTCCAAAGATACTTGTGGTCATTCATTCCAGTATTTAGTATTTTTTAGGTTGTTAGGAATGTGTTTCTAAAGCTTTTTTTTTTTTTTTCCCAGCCATTAAGTTGATGTCGTTTTTATAAAGTACTGATTTAATGCAAACTGTTTTGACTGTCAAAAAGTGAGTTCCCTAATACAGTTGTGTTAAGTCTTTCAAACTCAACAAAGAGGTAGAAAGGGTAGGTGAATTCAAGTCTATATAAGTACATCCAGCCATAATATTGTTTATGATTTCTTCAATCAAGCATGCGGTATATTTGGGCTAGGTACCCTTTTTGTAAATTCAGAAGAGACAAGCTTAATCTGAAATAACAGCTCTAACCTTTTCTTCATGTTCATAAAAACCTAGATTTAACCTGGCAGAGACAGGATTTGTTCTCTCTCTGATTTTAGACTCAGAAAGAACACATTGCATTTTATAACCACCTGAATGTTTTTTTGTTTTCCTAATTAAAACCACTGAAATCCAAACCATTTAAATTCTGGACAACTGGACAGTTTATATTATACTATTCAAAAAGAGATGATTTTTTCTTTTTACTAATCAGAAGCTGGAGAATATTTTTTAACACTTTCTACTGCTAAGCAATTCTAAGGTAAAATGTTTTTATAATAGCAACTGCTCTTTTGTCATATTTTATTTTAAAAGTACACTATGAGGTACTGTGAAACTGCCATCTTGATTTTCCAAAACCATATTGGTTGGCTCACCTAGAACTTCATAACATTTAGTAATCAGCAATGAGCTTGTGAAGAGCTCATTTCAAGGGAAAAAAAACAAAGGTCTGCCAGGCAAACCTAGGCAGCTTTTCTGTCTAGCCTTGTAACTCTGAGCATGATGCATTCACTGCACAAGGAAAGTGGAAATAAGCACCTCTCTGTCTGACTGAAAAAGAGAGAAAATTTGACTTTAGAAATCCAGCATGAAGAGGAGTGCCTCTCAGCAGACCTGGCTACTGCAAAGGACTTGCTTTGCAAGTTATTACGGTTTTGGATCGAATATAATTTGATTGATCCTTAAGAGAAAGAAGTAAAGAGCAACGGTGAAGTAACAGTAGTGACAAGCAACATCAGCAAGGTTCATCTAACTCAGGTTCACAGACTGAATGGTAATTTTTTCTGATGAGAAGACCAAAAAGCCTTAGTAAGTAGGAGCATCTCTATAGCTGTGAGTTGGCTTCCAGAAGATCTGTGATATAAGCAAGGCAATTCAGATCCATCCTTTGATATCTGAGTGACTTGCAGTGCCTAAATTAGCATCCTTACTCCCCAGATTTCCTTGGGAAACAATGAAGAAAAACCTTGCCTCTCCTCATTGATTAAAGAAAGATAAAGACTCATAACTGATTTCTTAGCCGTGTCAAGTGATACAAGATGAATCCAGGTTTATGTGTAATGCTATTGACACCTGATTTACAAAAGAACATTTCTCTTAATTTTCTTTTTGAACAAAGATTATATTAAAGCATAAAACGGGAAAATTTCATGCTCAATTCTTGGAATGTAGGATACGTTCAGAGGCCTTTCTTTCAAGCATCACATATACTATGGTTGGTCTCATCCTGTACCACTTTGTCATATTAATAAGACACTCATGAGAGATGGACAAATAACCTGAAAAAGTTATGTCAGTCCTCTTTTTTCCTCTTTTCCACAAAAGTGAAGTCACTGAAAATATTTAACTTTTCAGAAAATAGTGCATATGAGAGTTTGAAAACATGGAATGAACTTAACTCAGAAATCACCAGCATTCAATACTCCACTTTGAGAAGGACAAGAAGGAAAAGGAAGAAGAAAAAGTCCACCATGTTTTAAGAAATGGTAGTGAAAATATCTTGTTAATAAATACATTTATACGGTGTAGGCTTATGGGAAAAGTATGTGATGTAGCATGACTAAATAGAAATATTGGTAAAATATTCATAACAAAACCTTCAATCTATGTGATAAAACAGTATCACAACACATTCCACTCACATATACATTGAGATGGTGCAGCCCTTGCTAACTGAACATTAGCCTTCTGTATTTTACATAACTGCAACAGGAGATGGGCAAAAGCCAAACTTCAAGAAGGGATGAAAGACAGGGAAAAAAGTTTTTTTTTCAAATAGCTATGAAATGGAGGACACAGTGTACATATACCAAGTGGCACATTGTAATTGTGTGTGGTGTTTGTGTGTGTGCATATGCAAATAGATTCTGTACATATGTGTGTGTAGATCAAGAGAAAAAAGATCATTCATATATATTATATATATGTATTAGTTTGAATACTGTCAGAAAAAAACAGAAGCTACTTCTCAGGTTATCCATGAGAAATCTTTCCTTAGAGTATCTGCTTACAATTTGATACAATTTGTGAGCAACTGCTCCTGAACTTAAAATGAATATATTTAGGGAACCATACATAAGCTACGACTCAGATGGAGAGTTCAGAGATGAAACAGTTTAAAACTTTTAAATGGGAAATAAAATAACATTTATCACTCAAGTAAGAGTATTAACTATAGTACAAAAAGACAACAAAATAGACAAAGGTATCGAAAAACAAATGTTTATTTCTTCATAAAAGCCATAACTTAGTAAAAATTCTGCTGCCTTAAGATCACAATTAAGTCTGCTCAACTTTTAAAATGAAAGACTAACACTTAAAATGCACTGTTTCTAACTTTAAAAATTATTCCTATTGCTTGTGTAAACATTATGTAAATGGACAATAGCTGGCAGAGTTTAATCAGAATGCATTTTGTCTGTATATGTCAAAGAAAACCAATAATGTTAATACATACAGTCAGTAAGAAAGGAATCAGTGCATGAGGACTTTCAAGTATGTCACCTGAAGTTCCTTTGCTTATGCAATGTTTAGCTTACTATGGTGTTCTCCCTATAAAATACCACACAGACCACATGGGAGCAAAAGTACAGCTAGCTGGTGAGGTCCATATAGGGTGGCTGCAAGCCAGTATTTCACACAAAGTCCCAAACTCCACCGAACTCACTGCCAAAACTTCCACCAACTTCCTCAGAGCACAGATTTCAAGCCTGTGATCTGAGTACCTGGAAATTAGATCTAGCTAGTGAGATTTAACTGCACTGATATAATTGCAGCTCTGTAGGTTGCACTGACATTTTGCAGTATGCCTAGACTGAGATCTGTAGTCCTGCAGATCCTTCTGTTTGAAAGATAAATACAGGGGTGGCTCAAGAGTGAGCTGAGCAGTTGTGCTTCATTGCTAGCAATGGAGAAACAGAGCAGAAACACAGCTAACGGCTTTATCCCACCCTGTGGATGGAAGGGAAGCAACGGATAACAGTTCTGGAATGAGTCCAAAGCAAAGGAATTCAGGACACGGTGTGAAACACAAAACCAGCAAAACAGTAAAGATGACGCAGAAAGGACCAGGCAGCGTTAGGTGTGTAAAAAGAGTATCTTATGCTACAGGGGTTTAAAGCCATAACATTGCAGGGCGTTTTCAAGTATGAACTTGAAAAAAAGGAAAAGGGGGGCTGGAAAATTAGCCAGTGAGACAGATTTTATTTTCGGATGTAAAAAAAAATCCAACTAAGCATTATTTCATAGAAATCAAGGAAATTTCTTTGGATTCACACTGGGAGTGACAGTAGAATTTGATAATGGCAAGGACAGGAGAAGAGACAACGTTATACAACCACTATGAGAAATGCTTCAGCCTAATACAACAGATGGCCAGGTTAAGGAATTCGAACTGGTGGACTTTGCTGAAGAACTGAAAAATGTACAGAAGGATTTTATTGAGGAGGTTTTGAGGTCAGGCGTCTCTTGATAAATTAAATTTTCTCCAGAAAGGTGATATGTTTGAAACAGGAAAACATTATTTTGTTGAAAATCCATACAGTTTCATGGAACGGTTGTGATCAACACTCAATGGACTGAGATGAAAAAAAAATAAAAAAGTTAAAACAAAGTGTAGAAAGGAACAGTTCTGCAGAAGTGGGTGAAAACCTAGTTCTGTAACCCTAACATTAAGATGAAATGAGGTAGGATAGGTTACACCCAATCTGTGAACTTAAAGTGCTTTCAAGTTAAAGCAAGCATGCTCCCGTTTAAGATAAGAACAGTGGATTCCCTTAAAGAAAGCCAGTACAGAAACAGGAATGGTAAGATGA